TCTCTCTCTCTCTCTCTCTCTCTCTCTCTCTCTCTCTCTCTCTCTCTCTGTCTGTCTGTCTGTCTCTCTCTCTGTCTGTCTGTCTCTCTCTCTCTGCCTCTCTGTCTCCCTGTCTGTCTGTCTGTCTGTCTGTCTGTCTGTCTGTCTGTCTCCCTGTCTGTCTGTCTGTCTGTCTGTCTGTCTGTCTGTCTGTCTCTCTCTCTCTCTCTCTCTCTTTTAGTCATGTGATTTGGACATTGTACATTACATCCGTTCACGTTTTTTCAAGCAGAACTAGGAACCTGTGAATGGTTTCCCATCTCTTTTCTATATCCCATCCCTGAAAGGGTGAGTGAAGTGAGAAAACCCAGAGAGGTACCTGTATGTTAATTTACAAATTACATAGAATGGAAGTGATGTTTTTGGTATTAGTTTTTTTTTTACAAATTAGTGGTCTCAGAGAATGGGGCCACAACAGCCAGCCTCTACTAGAGTCTAAGTCTAAGGTCTACAACGTGCGATTCAATGGCTTCAAAGCAAAAGGAAGGCCAAGAAGAAGATGGATCATATGTAGTCAAAGAAACCCCCTCCTCCCAAGCCAAAAGAAACAAATATAAATAACATTAACAATCTAAACCCATGTACGACAATTGCATCTCCCCTCAACACCTCTTGGTACAAAAATGCATAAAAGTTAGAGGACAGGAAAAAGTAAAAGTAAAGTCGGGATTTCTGTGATGAATATAATCGCCTTCTTATATCAGATTTTGCAAGCTGACACAAACAAAACTGTGATATAAACGTTCTGTAAAGCAGTGGCGGTGGGTAGTGAAGGGCTCAGGGGCTTGAGCCCCTCTACCCACCCCCCAAGTCTATCCCAAGGCAAATGAAAAGAAACGAAATAAGCAGTTGAAACTGTTTTGATCGCCCGCAATGAACACAGAGTCGGCAACTAGGCGGCTTGCTCGTTTATCCAATCACTGTTGTCCCCGCTTACAACTATAGTAACCTAACAGCCAATCAAATGTCTTTAGGACTCAGCAATCAACCAGCCCGTTCCCACGGTCTCTCCTTAATGAAACCCCTCTTGTAAAAAGGTAGAAGACTTGAAAAAAATAACACTGCACAGAGGGCTCACGCTCTCCCAGCCCTGACAATGGGGTGAAAGTTTACGACACACTTTCCCCCAGTGACACAGTTACCTATGCGCCCATTGGGCCTTTGTTAGGCGCGTTCTATTTTCTGCAACAACACGACCCAATCCACCTCATACACGGTGTGTATTTGGAGTGCTGTGTGTTTGTGCCGCTGAGATCTAACAATAATCAAATAAAAACTAATTAGAGAAATTTGGAGGTGAAACGGCTTTGTTCCCATCATCCAGAAGAATTTAACGTAGAACAAAGAGATGGCAGACAAAGGTGACTCTTCTCGTTTGAATGGTTCGGTTCTCAAAATGCCGTGGCTCGCCGTGAGTATAGAAAAATCATCACTGTGTTGTTCTTATTGCTTGCTTTTTGGTGGTCAAGAAGTGGAAGAAACCTGAGCCCCACCCAAATCTAGGTTCACCCACCGCCACTGCTGTAAAGTTAACTCACGAATATTGTTTCTGAGTGAAGAATCGGTGGGAGTCGGAGAAAAGGCATCAATTCAGAGATTTTCAAGGAAAATAATCCTTGGGGTATTGTGACCTTATTTAGTAATTATTCCTGGTTGTTTCCCTTGGTCTGTGACTTGTTTCACCACAGTGGTTTCACAAGTATTCATTACACTTTACAAATTTGCACTATTCTATCCCCGGGGTTTTATGCACCCCGCATAATTTAGCAAAATTTGATCATTTTTTTGCATAATTTCTGATTATGTTCCTATATCATTCTTTGTTGAAATTAACAGAATCGCATGATTTCACATTTTTGGGCCCAGTTTGCATAATTTCAGAAATATTTTTTGTGTGCTAAAACCGCAGGGACAAAATATATATAATTGTTGCCTTTGTTCTGTTGAAAGTAATTGAAAAAATAGATGCAACACTTCATCAAGTAAAAATAACCCGTATAAATTACTCGTACCTTATATTTATATTTGATTTTGTTGTTAGTCATTTGGTTTACACTCATACACGCATGTTGGCCTACCTTGTATTTATTTTGCTATTGAAACTTCAAAGCCTAAAAGGGGGGCTCTCGTGGCCTAGAGGTTAAGGTGTTGGCCTCTCATTCAAAGGTCCCGGGTTCGAATCTGGGTAGCGACCGAAAACATTTCTTCTCAAAATTGTCTCATTTAACCCCCTTTCCTGCTCTCTAGCAATGTTCTGTCGTCTGTTTTTCGTCTCCGCTTTCTGCCCCCACCCCCTCACCTCCTTTACCCCCTCCTCTGGGCTCCTGACTCTTTCTGCTGCCTTTCTACTGCTACTTCTTAGCTCTCCCTTCTTAATGCTGTCTTTCAGCCACACCCCCGATCTTCTGGTAGGAAAGATCTAGACCTAGCCTTCTCAGACAACAAAGGCGAAAAATCCCGGAGGACTCGTTTGCAAGTTGCGCACGTTAAAGATCCCTTGGTGGTCTTAAATCTATAGGAGTAGTCTTCGGCCGCCACCCGGGCAAAGTATACAATTTTCTACCGACTGAAAAAGTTTAATGTGTCTCGCGCGCTCATAATACGACCTTATGCAGTAGCGAACGCCATAAAACACTTATTATAAAAAAAAGAAACATCTTGTTCGTTTCCTTTTGTATTCGTATTAAATCATAAATGATTTAAATCAGTATCGTCATACAGCTGTGACTGTTCTATTATTTAATTTTTTTACGGGAACTCCCCTGTGGATTCAAGTAATAATATTAATAGGTTCTGAGAAATTTATTTTCAACTACCAGGTTCTAGCAATTTTCAGGCTACTACATAAATTTATCTCTCTTTGGTACTTTGGTACCACAGGTTTTTTTGTTTGCTTGACGGTCTACCTCCGGAGCAGTCTGACAACTGGTTCAGTTAAATTATGTTTGTAAGTATAGCCTTGGCTGCTGGCACTTGTGACATGGAGAGAGAACATTTTCTTTCAGCGTAATACAGGCTAGGGGCTGTCGTCGACTGTATTAAACAGTTTTGGTGTTTTTAGTGTGTTCGTTGGGGGGGGGGGGGGGGGGGGGGTAAGCGGGGAGTTTTTTTGTGGGTAGGAGCGGGTTCGGAGTGTCTGGTTATTACCGTGTCCGATCAGACTTAGGCTACCCTAGACCACCTAGATCTAGATCACGAAACACGTTAATTGTACATTTACATTGTGAGAATGAAGAACATGGCAAACAGTGATAGTTTTACCGCACTCAGGAATACTACTTATCAGCCTAGTGAGAGAGCAAGTTTTAAGATTGTAGTAGAGTTGTTACAGGTTACGACTCATTACGAGTACACGTGTATTAATACACGTGTTATTAGTATAGCCGTCAGTTGGCGCTTGCAAATCCCCCCCTCTCCCCCCCCCCTTTCTCTATCTCTTTCTCTCTCTCTCTCTCTCTCTCTCTCTCTCTCTCTCTCTCTTTCTCTCTCTGTGTGCGTGTGTGTGTGTGTGTGTGTGTGTGTGTGTGTGTGTGTGTGTGTGTGTGTGTGTGTGTGTGTGTGTGTGTGTGTGAGAGAGAGAGAGTGTGTGTGGCTTGGCAAAATTGTGCGAAATCAAAGAAACATCAAATTGTCTTCACGAGTGTATTATATATTGATAGAATCATGGACATTCATTGCATCCAATGAATGGAGAATTTTGTCTCTGCAATGAACAATATTTAATTTCGATAGTTTCAAATAATACGGAAAACAGATCAATCACAAATATCACGCAAAACCTGGACTTAACATTAGATGTGCTATGTGCTCATAGTTAGTTTGCTTAGAAGTCACTGGTTTTGTGTAGGGCACGATCCTTTTGGGCATCTCCTCCTTTAAATTTTGGACATAATTATGTGTCTTTTCGTCCCAAGTGTCACAGACAGTTGCAAACAAAGGGTCTGAATTGGGAGCAAAGTCGATTTTCTTCACTTGCTGTTTCATGGGACTTCTCATATCTGTAGGATTCGCCTGGGCTATTTAATTTGACCACTCCAACGTTGACATGAAATGATTTTCCAAGAATAGTCTAGTGGCATTGGTCCTGTTAGAAAGGGTTTTGCCATGCATGGAGATGTCTACTTGAATAACATCATGACGAAAATAAGGGTAACACGACGTTCCAACACTTGCGCGATATGTAGTCCACTAAACCAAGCCATCTGGTGATTCACTCGCAGGCGGTTTTGCTCTGTCTACCCCAGCCACCCTAGTAAACCATGGCAGTTTTGTGGCCTCTGCTCCTCACAGTAAGTGTAAGGCAGATGATTTAATCCAAAATCTGACTAACACAGTCATGTGCAAAAAAGAAAAAAAAAGTTTGGTGCTCTACACGAAACCAATAGCTCCTAAACAAAAACAAAATCATACCAATAAGCACCTGTAATGTTAAGTTAAGTCCAGGTTTTGCATGGTATTTGTGACTAATCTGTTTTCTAATCTGTGTGAAAATATCACCAGATGATGCTGTACATTGCAGAGACAACAATATTTTCCTATCATTTGATATTCAATACATACCATGTCCATGCCACCAATGTTGCACTTCAATACAAGCGCGAACAAACGTTTACGTTTCTATGATTTCACACAATTAGACAATTTGCCAAACGTGAGTTTTTAAAGGTCAGTTTTGAGTGACCATATCTCGAGCGTCTCTTAACATGGATGAAACATTATAGTGTCAGATGATGATTAATTTTTATGTAGCTTTTACAATGTAATTGGTATGCTGCATGAGTGGGTGGTGCAATGCTTTAACATGATAATTGCGAGATTACGTTTTCAAGTTTCTTTTGGACGTCACAGAACGTTATATATTGTAAAATAATCCAAATAAACAGAAAAACAACAACAACAATAAACAAAAACAAGAACACACACTTTCAGAGCCAAAGCGAAAAGACAAACGAACAAACAAATGGCATTAACAAATAATTTTAATGCAAAACGGAAGCCCAAATTCAGTTAGGAACTGTACAAATCAACAAATACATCCATACTTTTATTGCCTTTTTTGTTGACGCACCATTCAAGACATGTCTTGTTGAATTCTCAAGGTAGGGCCAGTGGAGGTCCACCGGGAACATAGCACTCATGTCTGGAGATACAAGAATTCTCAAGATGAGAAGATAAGCTAATCACAACGGAAGAGGCGGCTTTATTCAAAGGCTGTGACTCACTTTGAGTATCTTGGAGGCCAATGGCTTTAGTTCAAATAATATATTTTTTTGGTAAGTGTTTTACGGCGCTCGAAACTATAAAGTCATATGAACGCGCGGGGCGCACCTAATATTTTCAGTTGGTAGGAAATTTTGAATTTTGCCCGGGTGGTGGCGGAAGCCTACTCTTATCGATTTCAGACCACCAAGGGATCTTTATCGTGCGCAACTTTCACACGTAACCTCCTCAGCTACCGGCACTGAGTCCTGCTTGCGTTATGTAGAAAGACAGAGGATAAAATGGTTTGGCCATCTGTTACGCATGTCACCTGACCTGCCAGCCTCGAGAACCTACAACACCAAGCACCCAGGCTATAAAGGAAGAGGAAGGCCACGCAAAAGGTGGATCAAGGGTGTCAAGGAAACCCTAAGAAAACATAACATCACGACTGAAAGAGCTGCGGAGCTGGCCTGCCAATACTGCCATAGAAAACTGCATCTCCCCTCGACGCTTAACGACAACAGAGGATGAAAAAGTAAAAATAAAGTGATGTAATGCTAAAGACACGAGCTCTGTTCTGCTATGCGGAGATCGGTGGTTCGATTCAACTGATCCCCACTGACAAAAACAAAAACAAAACAAAAACAACGAAAAGAAACATTCCCCCATCCCCCACTCTCGCCGGAATATTGAGGCACTCCATTACTTTTTTATGTAAGCGTCTTTGCTCTCTGCTACTCTCTCCCCCCTCCAGGGGCGGCTCGTGGGGCTAAAAAGTGGACGTGCACAATTAAGCTATCGCTTGCTGAAGATAGTCAAGGGCCAAGGGCATAGTAAATGGGACGGTGTGCAATTTTAGGATCTTTGGGTTCGTGAGGGAGAACCTCGTGCTTTTATTTTCATTCTTTTTACTTGTCGCTTCTAGTACTGAATTTGTTTGTTAGCTAAACATCAAATTCGTTCATCCTGTATTAGAACTGAACACTCAAGTAATAACTTTCACTGCTCCACTACAAAACCATTCAAAGGCACAACTCATAGGACGGTCACGTTCACCTCCCTCAGGTTCACTGTCACAGAGTCACTTAAAATAGCGGCAAGACAGACAATGAACCAATCACAATTCACATGAGCACTCCGCTGGATTGCTCTGGGGCTCACATAATATTGGGAAAGAATAGCGTACGGTCTATCGCGTTTATTTTTAGACTGCTTACTGTGGGCTATGTTTCGGCACTATTCGGCTGGAGCACATTTGAGATGTGCCGTCTTATTAATAAATGTACCGCTAAACTCGCTACGAGTGTCGTCATCGCTTGGGTTATCCCCAGGAGCGATTTATAGGTCAGGTTACACCGTTGAATATCCTATTATGTTTAGCTAAAGCGTTTGAACTTTGGCATGGTATAGTAGACGATTTAGCGCCAGTGAGGAACTTGTTTTGATATAATATTTGGTTAGTGTTTCAGGCTTCTTTTAATATATTATTGTGGGTGTTTTACGTAATAGAACATTAAAAAATTTTGGGCAGCACTGCACGACCGTGCTCTATGGACGAACCGCGCCTGTCCCCCTCCCCCCAAAAAAAGAAAGATAGAGAGACCCCCAAAAAAATCTATAGAAAAAAATAATAAAAAAATACATTAAAAATAAACAAACAAACAAACAACAATAACCAACCAAACAAAATAAAAATCAACAAAAAACAACAAGCTAACAATTAAATGAAATAAATAAATAAATAAACAAATAAATAGATAAATAAATAAATAAATCGAAACAATAAATAAATAGCCAACATGAATAAATAAATACGTAAATAAATAAATATAAAACAACATTAAAAAAGCAAATGAATAGAGAAATACATGTATAGATCTATATATATATATATACATATATATATATATATATATATATATATATATATATATATATATATATATATATATATATATATATATATATATATATATATATATATATATATATAAATAAATGAAACTGAAATTTTTTTTGGTAAGTGTTTTACGGCGCACGCAACTGCATGAAAGGTCAAAATGAGCGCGCGGGGACACTTTGAACATTTTCAGTGGTAGGAAATTTCGAATTTTGCCAGGGTGGCGGCCAAAGCCTGCTCTTATCGATTTTAGACCCCCAAGGAATCTTTAACGTGCGCACGGGACCTCAGAGATTTTTTGCACTTATTCGAGAAGGCTAGGTGTAGATCTTTCTTACCAGAAGATCAGGGGTGTGGTTGAAAGACAGCAGTAAGAAGGAACCGAGGAATAGCAGTAGAAAGGCTGCAGAAAGAGTCACAAGCCCAGAGGAGGGGGCAAAGGAGGTGAGGGGGTCGGGGCAGGAAGTGGAGACGAAATCAGACGACAGAACATTGTTAAAGAGCTGGAAAGGAGGTGAAAGGAGACAATTTTAGAGAAGAAAAATGTTCCGTCGCTACACGGATTCGAACCCGTTACCTTTGAATGAGAGGCGAGCACCTCAACCGCTAGGCCGTGAGAGATAACAATTCCCTGAAGTGGGATGGCCTACATTTTTTAGAGAGGGCCCCAAACTTCAAGTGAGAAAACGCTAGGTTTACCTGTAGCAGGTCAGTTGTCCGTCAAAACACCAGCACATCCCGCAGGACTCGGTGTCTTCCCCATCAACAGCTCGGGTATGGTTCATCGTGTCGCGGTGAGCGTACGTCTTCCCTCCGACTCCGGTGCACGACTTTGTCACTGTAGAGTAATAATTGTAATGATATTAACAGCAACAACAACAGCAATAACATCAACATCAATAAAATAATAATAATAATAATAATAATAATAATAATAATAATAATAATAATAATAATAATAATAATAATAAATAATAATAATAATAATAATAATAATAATAATAATAATAATAAAAATAAAAATAATAATAATAATAACAATCTTCTTCTTTTTCTTCTTCTATCCCGTTGTTGGGGCAACCGTGGGGGCACCACTGCTTCTGAAAACCAGCTCTCGCCATCTATTTTTGTCCTCTGCTTTCCTCAGATTGTCACACATCGTCTTTCCTGTCCACTCTGTAATGTTGTCCTCCCATCTCCTTCTCTGCCTTCCTCTCTTTCTCTTTCCTTGTACGGTTCCTTGCAGGATTGCTTTGGCAAGTCCTGTGGATCTTGTGACATGCCCATACCATTTTAATTTTCGTCTCTTCACTGTGGTCAGTAGATCGTCATATTGCCTCACTGCGTTGGTGATTCTCTTTCGTACCTCAGCATTTGAAACGTGGTCTTTGTACGAAATTATACTCATTAAAAACTAATAAACAATAGTAAGAATGTATGATCGGAAGGCCAACGTCGAATTTAGCTGAATTCGGTCGCATTGTGTCAAAACAGAGGTCACAGCACCGTCCATAAAGGAAAAAATATGGCTGGCCATGCCTCAATTAAGAAGAATGCGAATGGCAATGTGTATTGGGTACAGTCTTATCTTATCTTACCTTATCTTAGATTTTTGACATACCGTTAATGTTGGACTGCGTATCTTATCTTATCTTATCTTATCCATCTTATGGCAGGTGTTTGACTTACCGTTTATGTTGGACTGCTTATCTCATCTTATCTTATGGTAGATGTTTGACTTACCGTTATAGCAGGACTTCCCGGCACAGGAGTCGGTGCAACACATAGCCCCTCGCCGGCAGTCAGCATCCCTGCTACACTCTTCTCCGCAGGGAACAGTTGCGTCGGGATCCGAAGGACATGCTGAGAGTTTGAATTTGAAAAGAACCTGTATCATGTAGAGTCAAAACTGCTCAAACAACTACATGTCTAAGACAATCACCTGTACAAATGAGCCCTTCCAACATTCCCCTTGTATTTTCCAATTATTATAATGACTCTGATAGGGACTACCGGTCTAAAAGGACCAATCTTCTTTTCGACAATGGGAGATCGTATTGAATAGATTCAACTGTATATCACTGGCCTCTATGGTGTACCGGTTAGACACTTCACAGTCTTAGGAAAGGGGCACGGGTTCGATTCCCGAGTGGGTTAGAAGCCTACCTCCTAGATGATCTTAATTGTGTTGATGGGGGCGTAAAGACATCTATATTAAAAAGATGCTCGGTGTCACTTTCTCACTCAAGTACACTAATAGTAAATGAACACAAACAACTAGTTTAAAAGTTCTGAATGAAGGGCTTGTTAGGTACTCCCAGGTATGGTCAAAAACGTAAAGAGACGCATCACATGACTGGGGAATCTACTGTTTTGAAGGAGACCTAGATCGTGGTTGGACTACAAGAATCCTGATGTAACTAAACGTTTAAATACACACGCTTTCAGAAATGTAGTATTTCGATGTAGCCTTCCGGAAAGAAAGCTCCTGCGGCTTAGGCCTACTAATTATATTTTCCATGGCTCTTCAGTTAAGTAATTCCAAAAATCATATTACATGATAACGTAATATTATGTCTTCTCTGGGACATACTACGTTACTACAATTTACGTGAATCACGTTGCATAATTAATAGATTTCACTATCTGACGACAGATAAAAAAAATGACGCGAGACTGCTGTTTACTGGGGATATGGTATCCTATTCATAGGGGCCGGCAATCGAACTCATGATCTGAAGATGGCACATTTAACAATTAATTTGAAAAAGAAATGATTCTGCCGAAACAAAGGCGAAATACTCATTACCAAGCTCAGGCAACCGAATATATGCTTGGGTCCCAATAGACGCAAGAAAAAGAAGAAATAAACAAGCGTTCATGGCGATATACAACAGTATAGAGGAAAACCGAAGTGCAGGAAAACTGGTGTGAAGTTGGTCCAGTTAGTTTCAGGACAGCGACAACCTGAGATCTCCGAGGCTTGTGATCTGTTCTTCTTTTATACTGGGTTTCCTAGTGTTGACGAGAGAGGATATTTTCAGACTTTGAAGTGTGTTTTAAAGCCACCCAGAGTAATTGTAATGCGCGGCAGCTGGCTATCGCCAAATATTAGTTTTCGTAACAACCACCGCTACACCATTAACAACATGGATTAAATGGTCTTAATTTTGACAATCATTGTCGTAACATGACCTCTCTCCACATATGTAGAGATTACGCACTCAGAGGACAATGGGTGTGGTATGGTGCGCCCTATTCTCCTTGTTTGATCACTTGTTACTATCATAATGACTGATGGCAATGAGTCTACATAACAAGAGGGTCCACTCCTCTCTTTGAGCAAATTAAAAAAGTGTCCTCAAAATTCGGTGGCACCCTCTTCGCAAATGCGCACCATTTGCGAACAGAGTTACCCTACTTAAAAAAAAAATCAAAGTGAAACTAACAAGTTTTTAAATAAATAAGAATTCAAATTTCGGAAGAATGCTTTTTAAAAATGGTTACGCTGACAAAAAACCTCTCCCGGAGGAAAGGGCAACTTTTTTCTTCGTTTAATTTGACTTTAGAATAAGAGGCGAGAGAGATCATTAAATTAAAAAAAACCTTAAAACTCCGCACTGAAAGAATCCGAACAGCTGATGAACAGCATTCAATCTGCGCACGCAAGGAGGTGCTATTCCTATTCTTCTTCCGGAGAAACGAAAGAGAACTTCAAAACAGACTGCAGCGCCATCTGAAGCGAGAGCGAACTTCCGGCAGACACTTTTTTGGCTGAGTGGACCATCTTGTTATGTACTATCTTTGCTGATGGTTCGTTTCTGTGGGTATACTCGATCTCGACGCGTCTGCACATAATTTGTTTGAAGTAGGTCACTTGATCTCAACACGATGGAGTATCATGGAGGTGAGTCCATTGTTGAAGCAAACAATGGACGGACAATATTATAGCGGCGTGGTATCTTTATCTCTATCTATTATATTTGTGAAAATTCGTTACCTTTGGGCGCCTAAAACTTCCGAATCACTTAACTTTTGAATTTGAAAAAAATTTACGGTGGTTCAGAATCATTTAAAGGATGCACAGTTTTATTGAAGAGTCTCAGGTCACTGTAGTTTAATTTTCAGATTTTAATTAGTTTCGTTTATATGCAATCTTGGGAAAGTCCGTCTTCTAAGACGCCACTGTAAACAAGTGAGGCTTCCGTTCACAGGTAGTGCGCACTGGTTCCATAATGACTTAACGATCGATTCTTTTGAGTCCGTTCAACGAACGGGGTACCCAGCTAATCTCTATCTCTATATATTATACTAACCGGGCCCCTTTTTGATGAAAAGAACGATCGGTGCATAAACATCAACTGAAACTCATTGGCCTACTATATTTACACTCTACTGGAATGGAGCAATGCATCTTGAGAGATGAAAACAATTAGAAGGTCTAGATCTATACTCTCAAAACAAATGCGCCTCGCGAAATATCACTTCAGGCAGTTCCGTTGTGAAAGACAGCAACGCAGATTTCTTTCGTTTCTCAGTGGAATAATCACAAAGGCCAAAGAACGACTATAACTTCGTGTCTAATATATTCCTTTCTTACTTCAGGAAATGAATAAATATAAAATCGGGCTCCGTCGTGGGACCTATTTATCTTTTTGAAGATACTTGCCAACTTTCAACTCTGTAGCTGTCCTGGTTTTATGGGGAAAGTGACACATGTGTTTCCAAGTAGTCAAATATATAATACATGTATAGATTGATTCTCTATTCCGCTTTCGTGGTTGTACACTCCATAATTTCAAAGGTGCGGAAGCAGTGCGCACTGCTAGTGAATGAAAACCTCACTTGTTTACAATGGTGTCTTAGAAGACGGAATTTCCCAAGATTAGATCTAAACGAAACAAATGAAAAACTGAAAATTAAACTACAGTGACTTCAGGCTCTTCAATGAAACTTAGTACATGTAATCTTCAGCACTTATATGGCCTTATTATGTTACCAGTGCCGTAAAACTTTTACGAACACTAAACTTAGAGTCCGTACGGGGTCACGTGACGCGGGAACTTTTGAGTTTGTTGGCGGCCATGTGCGAGTTGGCAAAGAAGTCTGCTTGAATGTGAGTGCGCTCTTAATAAGGAATGTGTTTTGTTAGATTGAACGTTGTGTTTTAATCCAAAGAGATGTTAAAAGCACAAGCCAGTGAAACGTCTAGTCCTTTTTTGGATTAACGTCTTAAAGCCTTAGAGACTTTCTCGACTGTAAATTCATCACCAGCATACGTCTGCTTAGTCTGGGACGAGGAAGACAGAAGAAAATGAGACCAGAAAGGATGGTGCAACCCAGATGTGTCTATCAATGTACTAAGAAAGACTCCTAAGGAACTCCTCTTTATTTTCACTAGAAAGAATAAGATTGATAAGAATTTAGACAGATTAGATCCAGATCTATGTTTTGAAGTAAACATTCGAAAAGATTAGGAGCCTGGGCTTATCAAAGCCTACCTTTCAGTTAATTAATATCAGTCTAACCGCTGTAATTTTGCCACGCCTTTGTGTTAAATTACTTATTAAAAATCACAAAATCCAAGCAAAATCTACTATTCTGAGGTACTAATTTCACTCTCTTGACTCACTGACTTAAGATATAAAAACACAAACAGGCATAAGCCTGAAAGCATTCACAGTAGTATAAACGTATCAGCAATAATATTTTAATGGGGTGATGATGGATAGGAGCAATCAAAGATAGGCTGCTATTGTAACCTTGCTCGGGTCTAAAATGTATGATGTAATATAGGCCTATAGGGTATATTAGTGACAAAGGAAACCATATCCAGACTGCGCATTATTGCGGAGCTTGTTATTATATTATGTACAACTTATAATCTGTGTTTGGTACACATTTTCTATTTCACGAATGAATTTGAACAACTCATCACTGCTTTTTTCATGCAATTCATTGATGTCTGTTTTCTTTCATTACATCATCTATGGGTGGGTTTTATTTTTTTTATATTTTTTTTTTTTTGGGGGGGGGGGAGACAGGGAAGTGCATAGAGGTTGAATGTAAAGCTATTGGACTACAGTAAGTTTGACTCGTTGATTTTAAAAAGACTTTCGACAAGGTCGGTGTTGTGTGCGTGTGTGTGTGTGTGTGTGTGTGTGTGTGTGTGTGTGTGTGTGTGTGTGTGTGTGTGTGTGTGTGTGTGTATGTGTGTGTGTGTGTGTGCTCTCTCTTTCTCTCACCCCCCCCCCCCTTGTCTCTCTCATATACCAAGACCATACTACATCAAAGATTGAATTACACAAGTTTGCTACGACGCTGTTGTATCTTTAAGAGATTTTTTATGGTCACGAGGTCAATTCGTCGGGTCCGCTGGTTTGCCATCTTGCGCCCCCCACCCCCACCCCAGGAAAAAAAAGAAAAGAAAAGATAAAAGACAAACAAAGAAAAAACAAATAAAAGACGAAAAAGAAGGAACATAAAGAATTAATATGTTCATAGTATAGCGTCCTTATGACTTCATCTCATTCAATTGAACTCTACAGTGCAAATGTAACGTGCTTTTTGAGGGCTTGGTTTATGAATAAAAAGAAGTAGATCTGGGAGTTTTTACGCCAAAATGGTCCCTTTTTGGCTCAGTCATGGGAAGTGTGTAATTCCAGGCTGAATTAAGGGAATTCGAATATCTCGTGGGCTAAAGCTGGAAAACAGTTGGAGGAAATCGGTTGTAATACCCAATCTCTCAAACATGAGACTAAAAGTGTTATTATAGCCTTTAATAACGGTATGGGTTTAACGATCTGATTAACATTACTAGGTTGTTTAAGAGGCAGGGCCTCCGAAAATAACGTCCGTCTCCGATAGGACGGCCGAGCCAATTGGGCAAAGAACCTTGGAAATTCCACATTGTGGTCCTAGCTCAAGATCACCCAGTCTAGGATTCAAACCAAGGCCAGCATCTTCATGGTCCAGCATATAGCAAATAAGCTAACGGAACGCCCACTACAGCATATTATGGCACTTAATTAAGGGCATATCATGCTATTAAATATTATTAGATCTAGAGGTTCCACTGGGCTGGAAACTATTGATTTCAATTTTTGATTTTCAAGACAGGCAATTTAGTTGTAATAATTCACCAGGGCCAAATTAATAGTTCGTTATTGGGTCGACTCATTGGCCAGAATTAAATTGCTCGCAGGCCGGATCTGGCTCGCGGTTTATAGTTTGCACACGTCTGATTTAGAACATTTAGGAGGCAGGCGAATATCCTCCCCACACGGGAATCTAACTTGGGTCTTTTGGATGCGTCACAAAGCGTTTAACCGCTACTTCATAGACCCTGGTCTACTTCATTTGTGAGAATCAGAATGTGAACGTACCTTGTTGCAATGTTTAAAAGATTATTAATTTTGTTGTTATAAAAAAAAATAAAAAATAAGCATTTTGTGTATTGATAAATAAATAAATTGGTAAGTAGTCTCTATCATGTAATCAGTGTATTAAATGAACAAGTTTATAGATACCTGGTCGGCATCGGTTATCCGGCCCACTTTGAAAAAAAAGGTTGATGAACCCTGGTTTGGGTAATATGGTTTAACAGTTTAGTTCTGCGGTCACAAGACTGAGCACATATCATGCCGTAGGCAGACTCATTATGGGTGGTGTCTGCTTTTTTAAGTGCATTGTTTACGTGTCAGTCCATAGCCACCAAAGGCCCTCAATAATCGCCGAGCTGTTACCAAAATCTGCCATTCAACTGGCACAGATGGCAATAATTTGCGAGGCTATCAATCCTATCATGACCATAGTAAATGAGAAGCAGCTTTTAGTGTAGAGGCACGCAATTTGGTTCTAGAGCTACGTCTTTTTTCGTAACTGGAATGACAAACATGTTAGATTCAGATTTGAATTGGCCTCCTACAAAGTGATTATGAATTACAAAGGACAGACAACGCCTAGACACAAAGAAAAGAAAGAC